AAAACTTTCACTTGGATCTGATCCCTTAGCAATCGGACGCTATTTAGTAAAGTTATTTACCTGTACCACGGTATAAAACAGAATTTAGCTTTAATTTCGTGCTTTCAGTGATGAAACAGACTTAAATTATGGAGTTACTACTTAAAATACCTACCATTCAAATTTCACGTAATTTCAAATGCTGTTGGCCTGTGCCTGCCCTTTATTTATAACATAACAAATCGATTTTATTCTTTGATAAATTGATTAAAACTACTTTTACGGATTTTATCGCGTTTATTTTACTATTATTTTTTTTTAATTCCCGACGTTTCGGGCGCTTTCCAGCACCCATGGTCACGGGGGACTGAGATGACTGACGTCCCGATGTCATTGTTAAACCCGGAGTACCTTCAGCTTTTTTTAATTATTGTTTATGGCCCGATCTATGCAAAATGAACTGACTATGTCCTGAGGTCTTGCAGTGGTATGCTTGGGTTTAGATTTAATTTTATTAATTATAGGATCCCAAGCAGGTGGTAGTACTAAGCCTCCTTCTCTATTGAAATTAGGATGTTTTTTAATTTCAATAGCCTCACGTATCATCCTTGGTAGGAATCGGTGTTCTTTCGCGAGGATTTGTGGTCTATCAAATCTGATGTAATGGTTGGGGCCGTCTAGGATATGATCGCAAACTGCAGACTTCCCGGAACGTTGATGCTTCACATCAGCTATATGTTCTTTTACGCGGGTTCTAATTGATCTTTTTGTTTGTCCTATATAAGAGAGACCACATTCACAATCAAGCTTGTACACTCCTGCATCTTGTAGAGGAATATGACACTTGACTGATGGTAGGAACTGACTAATCTTCTTCGGCGGCTTGTAGAATGTTCTAATAGAAGCTCGCTTCAAGATGTAGCCAATCTTGTCTGTGACAACTCTAACATATGGTAGTACAGCAGGCACACGCTCGACTGTGGCCGGCTTCACTCGGTCACTGTAACGTAGGCGCGGGACCCGAAGCTTGTTGTCGTGCAGAACTTGCTTGACGTGCTGAAGCTCGGCGGCCAGGTGTTTACTGTCACAGATCCCTCGTGCTCTCTGTAACAAAGATTTGCCCACGGTAGCTAACTGTGAAGGATGGTGGTGAGATTCACCGTTTAAATATCGGTTTGTATGGGTCTTTTTCCTATACACAGTGTGACCAATGGTGTTGTTAGGATTTCGAGATTCGGACATAGTCAGTTCATTTTGCATAGATCGGACGATAAACAATAATTAAAAAAAGCTGAAGGTACTCCGGGTTTAACAATGACATCGGGACGTCAGTCATCTCAGTCCCCCGTGACCATGGGTGCTGGAAAGCGCCCGAAACGTCGTAAATTAAAAAAAAATAATAATAGTAAAATAAACGCGATAAAATCCGTAAAAGTAGTTTTAATCAATGTGTAGTGTTCGCGTAAATACAAGAAATCATTCTTTGATAAAGTTTGATTTTATAAATTAATTATATCCTCAGTGCCTGTCTATAAGGGCGAAGTCTTTTGGTAATAAACATAAATCGCTGTGTCTTAGATTATTCAACCAGGCTAAAAATATTATTTATTTTATTTTTTTATAGTCTGTAATGTTGTATAGTATTAGAGATACAATAACAGTTAATAATTATATTGATGTAAAAAAAACTAAAACGTTAGTATAATACACAAACATTAACTTTGTCTAGGATCTGATCAAAACACCCAGAAGAAAGATATGATCTTATGGATGTAAAATTCTTGATACTGTTACGAGCTTGAGGTTCGTGACAATAAAATTGCTGATAAAATTACCAAAATTAATACTTTAATTTACTTTACACAAATTAAAACTTAAAACACTAATAATTAAACACACTAATTCACTTTATTCCGCTCCGAAGCTTCGCTTGTCTCGCCAAATCCAATACTGCTCCGATCGCATCTTGCAGCGCCTATATATACAAATTAGCAATGAAGCATCCGGAATATTCAAGTAAATGCGCGCAAAGCGACGAGTGTTCGAGTGTAGATTTTCTAGAAACTTAGTTCTTCGGATGGCGCTGTCGGTTGAAAGATTTGTGATGTCATTTTCTGCAAAGCTCCCCTCGCTCTCGTTCCTGACACTAGATGGCGCTAGTGTATCGTCGACTTGAGCGCCTAACACTGCCCCCTCCTAAGACATGCTCGTCCCGAGCATTATCGGCCCCATAATAACGCGCCAAGCGATCCACATGGACGATCTTAGGAGTCCCCTTTGCGCCTTTCTGTAACGGCTCCGCAATGTCAAGGGATGTCCTATCCCGTGGTGCACCAACATTGTACTATTTCGATGCTCCTCTACTCCGTGTCTAAGGTCCCCTCACAGCCGCACAACTTGTACATGTACGACACCAATCCTCGACATCGTCACGATAATGGACCCAGTAAAACTGTTCTCGGACCTTCAGTAGAGTTCGTTTAACTCCCAGATGGACTCTTGAACGACCATTATGGCACAGCTGTAGAACATTCGGCACTTTAGCTTTAGGGACAACCATTTGCAGACGACAGCTGTCTCCTCAACCATTGTCCCATTTACGGCACAGGACTCCATCCTGAAGCAGCAAGCTGTCCCATTGGGCCCAATAGCTTTTCGTGGTTGAACTCATCGCTGAGACGTCCCTCCACTTAGGCTTGGTAGCACGGGCCTTCATCCATCCCAGAATCGGCTTGATGTCCGGATCTTCCTGCTGTGCGTGTCGTAGGCTGTCCTTCCACCCGTTGCTGAGGTGGTCTGTCCTGAGCATCCTCACGGATACCACTTCCTTACTCTCTTGCCTACTACAATGGTTGCAATCTTCAGGAAAAGGTCTTCTTGACAATGCATCTGCGTTGCCGTGAGATTTCCCGCTGCAGTGTCTGATAGTAAAGTCGTATTCCTGCTGCTGCTGGGCGGTGCTGTTAGCCGCACTTCCTTTCTGAGACCGTTCACCTTCCCTTCCTAGGGTGTGCTTAGGGCAGCTGGACCGAAGATGGCCCCTTTCCCCACAGCCATAGCACCTAGGGCTGTATCCTTTATTGTGGTCGCGAACCGTAACTGCTGCAACCTCCCTAGCGTGAGGTGAACGACGATCCTGTCGCCGCCAGGCAGTGCCGTTAGCTGCACTACCCTCCTGATATCGTTCACTTTCCCTTTCTAGGGTTCGCTTAGGGCAGCTGGATCGAAGATGGCCCTTTTCCCCACAGCCATAGCACCTAGGGCCGTATCCTTTGCTGCGGTCACGGACTGTAGCTGCTGCGACCTTCCCGACGCGATGGGAAAGATGATCCTGCCGCACGGCTTCCACTTCCAGTGCATGGGCCAAGGCGTCCTTAAGCGTCTCGTGGTGCCCGAGCCTCACAGCAGCTCTGACTTCCAGGTCGCGGATGCCGTCGATGAATGTCTGCACCAGGTTCCCTTCAATGAGCGCAGGTACAGACCGGTATGCTTTTCGCACCAGCTTCTCCACTTTTAGAGCCTACTGCTGCAGGTTTTCGTTGATGCGCTGCACACGATCTTTAAGCTGCGCACGAAAGACGTGTTCCAGGTGAGCGTCGCCATATCTCGCCTCCAATGCCTCAAGGAGTTGCTCATAAGTCACTTCCCCACCGAGAGCTTCCAGAACTGTTAAGGCCTGGTCGCGCAGGCCTAGTGTGAGAGCAGTCATGGCCTGACTTTTATTCCAGCCGTTCGCCTTCATAACAGCCTCGAACTGGATCTTGTAGGCTGACCAGGAAGAAGTCCCGTCGAACGGTGGCACTTTGAACCCACGTAGGGAAGGTGTAGTAGCTACTACGGGAGCTGTAGTTCCATCACCCAGTTTGAGGTCGTCCAGCGTTTTCTTCACGTCAGCCACCACGTAATCAACCCGATTGTTCACTTGGTCGATTTGGGTTTTAGCTTCCTTGATTTGGGTTTCAGCTTCCGAGAGGCGGTTGTCATGTTGAGCAACCCTATCCTTCTCCTCCTTTATCTCTTTCCCAAAGGTAGCATGAAGGTCCTTAATGAGGAGCATCTGCTCTTCCGACCGACGGGCCTGCTCCTCCTGTCGGCGGGCCTGTTCCTCATGTCCGCCCCGCAGCTGCTCCTCCAAACGACGAACCTGGTCTTCCTGTCGGCGGGCCTGTTCCTCCTGTCCGCCCCGCAGCTGCTCTTTCAACTGACGGACCTGCTCCTCCTGTCGGCGAGCCTGCTCCTGCAGCATCACCATCAGAGCACCTAATTCAGGTACTGCAGATGTAGGAGCTACCGACGGGCCTGCAGCCGGTGGCTGGCCTTCCGACGTCTGCGGCGTTGCACCACCAAATCTCCTCTGGTCCGTGTCCTGCTGGCGTTGACTTCGGGTACGGACACCCTCCGATTCCTCCTTTGGTAAAATCGGCATGATTTTATCCCACTTCTGACACCAATTATAACGAGCTTGAGGTTCGTGACAATAAAAATTGCCGATAAAATTACCAAAATTAACACTTTAATTTACTTTACACAAATTAAAACTTAAAACACTAATAATTAAACACACTAATTCACTTTATTCCGCTCCGAAGCTTCGCTTGTCTCGCCAAATCCAATACTGCTCCGATCGCATCTTGCAGCGCCTATATATACAAATTAGCAATGAAGCATCCGGAATATTCAAGTAAATGCGCGCAAAGCGACGAGTGTTCGAGTGTAGATTTTCTAGAAACTTAGTTCTTCGGATGGCGCTGTCGGTTGAAAGATTTGTGATGTCATTTTCTGCAAAGCTCCCCTCGCTCTCGTTCCTGACACTAGATGGCGCTAGTGTATCGTCGACTTGAGCGCGTAACAATACATTTATATGAATGCAAGGAACATTCGGTCACTCATTGGCATTAAGAAATATTATAAACAATATTGTTGATTTATGTAAACAAATACTAAGCTTGCATATTATTATGATACAGATGGAAGATGTGTAAAGGCTGAGTTGCAACAAAAAGGGGTGACGAAAAACCAAAATGAAGCAGCTCATCAACAAAAACCTCATAACGTTGAAATGTGTTCTCTTTTGCTTCCTCTCAGGTAAGTCGACAAACGTAGTCAATATTATAATACCTATACTTAATCATTGAATTCGATCGCGCACACCCACAGCACTTTAAACCAATAAAACTTATATTGACAACTTATATTGAAAATTTATAGAGACTACTTTTTTATGAAGAAGTTTGACATTATGGATTCAATATGAAATTTTCTATCCTCTAGTGCAATAAAAGTCAAGTTATCTTATGGATATTTCGTAGACAGAGAAACCTAGAGACAAATTGACGCCTTCTTTCGCATTCGCACACGAAAAAGATAGATTTATGCATACGTCATGCATGGAAATGAGATAGAGCGGTGTGATTGTTTGTCCCTTTCTCCGTGCCGGTTTTTTTTGTTTAGCGATTTAAGGAGTTTACAAGTTGGTTTAAGTGAGAAAAAAGTGTTTTGTGAGCTTAAGATTGGTGAATCTTGTTCAGTTCAGTTCTTAGAATAATTAAAATTTTTATCTAAATGTGTTTAAAATTCATAAAGATTATTCTATAACCTAAAAATTCGTTATCGTTCTTTCTCACTCGAGGCCACGCCGATCATTAGTCTATAGGTTTCTCTGTCTACGGGATATTTAATTATAATCTATGGTTATTTAATTATAATTATAATCTATTTTTGTATTTTTCTAGTGTTTTAGTATAGTGTTTTATTATAAAATTATAATTAAAGTTTTTGTGTGAATATAATCTTTTTACGTAAATAATTTCGACTAATATATATTAAAATAATTGTGATTTTCAGGCGCCGACATTCGCTTGGTATGTTTTGTTATCAATATATAGTCTTTTTGTAATTAAAAAAAACCTGACTTTTATATAGAGAATTTTGTATAGATTTTATAATGCCAAACTTCGTCATAGAAAAGTAGTCTCCAAATATAAGTTTTAATGGTTTTAAGTGTTGCGGGTGGGTGCCGTCGCATGCGACCGCTCGGAATTTGCCGGGCGCATGCGACTGCATGAGAATTTTACGGGGACTGAGCTAGGGACAGACGCGTGCGACGCGTCACTTATCGATTATCGATAACCGCTTATTGATTTCTAGAAGCATGATGTAGTTTATTAGTGTGTATTTTTGACAAATAATAAATGGAATTACGTGGTTATTATAGTTTTCTTTTTTTTTGTATTCTTAAAATAAATGAATATAATAGAATAATAATGAATAAGTACATCGTGTGAATGTCTGCCTATAAATAAGGTGAACGAAAATAAATACCTCGGCATCATTGTTGATCAAAGGCTTAGTTGGCACTCGCAATTGGAAGTTGTTATAAATCGGATCAGAAAACTAATTCGGGTACTTAAATGGCTTAAATCATTAGGTCAGCAATGCCTAGCACAGTATTAAATAAAATTTACATAGCCTTAGCACAATCGATAATTACCTATTGCATCCCAATCTGGGGAGGAGCCACCAAGACTAGCTTTTAAGATCTGTAATGAGCACAGAGATCTCTTATAAAGGTTATGTATTTAAAACCTAGAATTTATTCTCTACTAACATCCTTTAACAGATTAGTAAACTTCTCTCGGTTATGCATGTTAACCTTATTACATTTTTTCTAGAGTTTTAAATAGACTTTTTGAATGTAATCCTTATGGGAATTAGCGAGCCTTTTGCACACGAGTATCCTCTGATGTTGCCAAAATTACTGAAACAAACGTATTATTTATTACTATTATTATTATGTGGGGTATCTATATAGTTTTCTCATCTGGTTGGGTTCTATAAATATATAATTATAAATTAAAATGAAAAGATAAATATAATTAAAATAAAATAAATACAAAAATACATACATAAATAAAAGCCCAACCAGATGGAAGCCCTCGGCAGGGGAGACCAAACGGCCGAGGGTTAGGAGGAAAGGGAAAGAAACCGGCGGACGATGCGGGCGGTATCGAGGAGCACCGCCTTCTGCATTTGAGCCAAAAAGTAATAATATTATTATTAATATTATTACTACTTTTTCATCATAAATATACAAATCAACAGGACACGACACCGTGGACAGCGAGTGATTAACATTAGTATATAGTTGACAATAATTTTAAGAGTTTGAAAAAAGAAAAGAAAATAATTTCCGTGTAATATCATCTGTATTCGGATTGGGGCTTTAATTATCTTTAATTATCTTCTATACATTATATATCTTAACAACAGCGGAAAAAAACAGCGAAAAACATAACGAAAGCAATCCTGTTGGCACTAATGATATAAATTAAATAATATTACTACGTAACTAACGAATGAGTAGTTAATTATAATTTCAAGAGTTTATTTACCACGTCCTCGGTGGGAAAAGAAAACATTGTGAGAAAAATTGCATGTCACAAATTTTTTATTGCGAAAAAGTAACACTGAATTTCTTTCTATTAAATTCTACACAAAGCGCTAGGCGCTAGCATTGATTATACACGTATACTGAAAAACTGCAGGTGCAGTCAATGCGGTACTGAAAATCAAAGGTGCCTGCAACTATTTTGTTTGTTTTAATGCCAATGTAAATGTGGCCATTAACGTAGAAAGAAGATAATATTTCTTTTCAAATTAATACATAGTATATTACAGTCAAAAAAATTTAAATAGGTAGTAGTAATAGACCGGACTTCAGTAACAAAACTGTCGTCTATTACTTTTGTCCTAAAGGATATATCTCCGATTTTCGTCATTTAGTCTAAGTGACATCGTCAAAAGGTCAAGACTCATTGATTTTATAAATTTTAAAATATTTTTGAAGAAAATATGCCTGGTTGTGCATTAAAGTATTGTAAGTCACGATATGGAGCACAAAATGAACGTGATTTCGGTTTATTATCGTAAGAATAATGTGTATTTACCAAATAATCTTTAAATTTTATTATTTCTAATAGATTGTTCGAGAAGAAAGAAAAATTATTGTAATAAGTGCCCTCTGTTATCCAGTAACGCTACTATTTATTTACAAATATGTTAGTGATTAACGATGTGCCTACAACGGATTTTTACCTTATGTTTAGTAGTGTCACCTACTGGGAAATAGCTAAAGTGTTTTCTAAATAAATATTCAGTGTGGTATTGCTATATTTCGCTAGAGGGTGTAATACATGCGCGTGGTCACAGCTTTTGTATGAAAATGTTCCCAATGTCCGCTCTATAGTGTATATATATATATTTAAATCTCAGCTAAGCTAAGCTAAACTATATAGTCAACCAAATCTAAGAAATACATTTTGACAGATGTCAGACTTATTACACCAAGCATGCCAACCAAAACATGGGAAAGTACAATATTCGATTCTTGAAAAAAATCGATATCGATTATTTAGAGTTGGTAATCATTTACAGTTTGGTTTGAATAATACTAGAATAAATTAGAAACGGTTAATTTAAAACACAATATATATATATATATATATATATATATATATATATATATATATATATATATTCTTGGTATTTGTTGTTACTGCTTATTTCTAGAGGCAGTTATAAAAATTTAATTAATTAGATTAAAAATAAATTTATTCAATCACTTTCAGTACAACTAGTTGAGCTGTCGTTGTTTAAATTAATTATTATTTCATCTTCAATAATGCAGGTAAACTTAATGTCTCTTTCAAAGTCATCCATAATCAATTTATTAATTTTTTCTACCACTTTTGCCCAATCATCCTTTGTGACATGCGCGAATATAGAAGAAGCAGTCCAAAAAGTTGAAGCCGAGTCACAAAATAAGAGGAGAAACACAAAATCACAAAATTAGTAAGCTTCCGACATGGCGGAAGATTGAAATAATGTAGTGGTTTTTTCAGAGCGGCCTTGTATATGAATTTATTTACCTACACAAATTTACGTTTACATAGTAAAAAAATAAACTTATTTTATCCATGATTCATGATATTTTAAAAATTTTAAAAATAAAAATTTAATTAAACAAATAATGCATTAAAAAAATTAATGATTCGATTATTTGAATATTTTTGCCGATTATTCGCATAACAACGAATTTAATCATCCAAACACTACGTCAAGCAAAAAAGTTGATACTGGTTATTTTTTTAATATTTTGCTTTGTTTTAAAGATTCGAATTGAAATTAGTGATAAAAACTATATACGTTGTAATTGTAATGAAATATAAATAACTCATAATTCTTCGGTTTTACGAAAAAGGTTATTTTAAATCGTGTGAGTACGCTTGTGCAAACTTATTGTGGAATGATTAATGTGAAACGTCAAAAGGTATTTCTTAGATTTGGTTGACTATAACTATAATGTCATAATTTGTATCAAGCTGTAACTAAAATTTACATGCCTTGTAAATAAAAAATAAATACATGTTGCCCCTTTATGAATCAATCTATGGGGCAGGCCTATATTAAGGTTCAGCAATGGTCTTTTATAGGCTGTAAGGGACTATATGTTCAGGATTTAATTTTTTTCTCGATAGCTAATCGATCATTTTTACTTTGTTTTGTGAATCGTTAATTGTCATTTGCTAAATCGATTTAACATCGTTCCATCTCTAAAGTCTAGACACGTCAAACTGTAAGCTGTCATTTGCACTATGTTTAAAAAAATATAATATAAGGTAACAAACGTGCACACAGTCTACCTGATGGTAAGTGGATGCTGTAGCCCATAGACTTCTACATCTATCCTCAATTAAGAATCAAAATGCAGATGCGTTGTCACACCAGAGGAATACGATGAAATGCCTGCTTATCCTGTAAAAGGGGTCTCTGGTTTTCTACACTTGCCATACGAAACACAGCAGCCTTATCTGCTATTTTACGCTGGTTTTCCATGAGAGCGTGGTTCTTCCCTGGTCGAGCTGACCCATTCATGCTTCATGTATAATATAGCTGCAGCATGGCTCCACCGCGATAAAAACAAACTCTACAACGCAACAATACAACAACGCAAAGATTATACCAAACGGGCACGCACTACTACGTACCTTCTATTTATGGGGCTTAGGCTCGGTTTACATTTTGAAAAGTGACAAGTGGGAGTGGCAAGCAACTCAGAAATGATAACTGCTTAGTGCAAATCTTATTCACACTTATCACTTGACAATGCCAGTTCACACGCACTAAGCACTTGTCGTTTGTTAGTTGCACTTGCCACTCGCACTTGTCACTTCTCAAAATGTAACCGGGCCTTATGTATACCTACATCGTAAGTCTATCTCTATCTGTGCACTCAATTAAAATTATAAATGGTTTTTATTCTTAACTAAAGTATTTTTTCAAGGTTTAAATATAAAACATGCATTTATAAAAAGTACGGTAAAGATACAGCCTTTATATGTCTCACTACTGACCACTTCTATTTATAAGTGGGTTTTAGGGCAAGGATATGTCTGTCGAGCTGCCTCATTTCGTAAACGCGGATTCACATGTCTTTGAAATATTTTTATTTTATATATCTCAGAAATAGTCCATGTTTTGACATGGAGGTTTCTTCACGATATTTTTCTTCACCATTTAGTACGTAGTAAATCAGCACTTAACATTGCAAATATCAAAATAATTCGTAGCGACAGATATCGAACCTAGGTTGCTCGCGTCATCTACTGGTAATTTCTTTATGTCAATTATTATTAGAGAAATTCTGGGGTTTTTAATCAAGTCATAAAACGAAAACACTGAACTTGCTAATCACATCCATGCGAAGCCGGAAAGTTTCGCTAGTGTCTAACAAAAACAAAAATATGGCTTCTTAAAATCGTTATAAGTAGCCTCGTATTATGTTCATGGACAATAATCTGCTTTAATCTGATATTTCAGTATACGTAGTAGAGTCATGCTCCAGCAATTATTATGGTTGTAGCACGAATGGGTTGACTGGACCGGAGGTTTTACTGGAAACGAGGTATTCCATCTTAGTCCTCAGGGGTGCCAACGCATCTGCATATATATTCTTAATCGAGGATAGATGTAGATGTCTATTATGGGCCACATCATTCACGTACCGTCAGGTGGACTGTGTGCTCGTAAGTCACCCTTATTCTATAAAAAAAGCTCGTTCTTTCAATTCAGATACAGGTGCATTAGAAATAGTATCTAAGAATTCTATTCTCTAAACAAAACTTTCAAAAGGACATAATATGGGCATTATGTTTAGTTTGTTTTCATAGTGGGAAGTTTTATAAACTCGGCGAAGTCAATAAAAAGTGGTCCACTATCCAAACCGGTGTAGTGTGGGGCATCGGTGTATAGCATTCGTGCAACCTTCCTTCTAAGGGGCGACGTCGGTCTCCAGGTACTGAATGGTTTAGGGATCATTCACCTCAGACTTTGCTACTGCAATGCGGACATGTAGGATCTTTTTGTCAAAGAGTCCTTTTGAACACTTAACTATTTGTTTCTAAATAATACTTTCGCTATAGCCGATTTGAATAGTTTGGGTACGAGTGGGTATGAGCCAGTAAAAGCTGCCATCTATAGTTGATAAAAATGAAACAGCTTGTTTTGATTTGATTGCTTTATTAATTGCGGTTCGGTTTTTATTGCACACAACTTTTCAAAAATAACAGAAAAGTTACACTTACTGATACATAACTCAACACTTTGGATGTTTTAATTGCGAAATCTATCTATTATTTGTTTTTCTGCGAAATTAAATTTAAGGAAAATTTAATCAGGTATTCATTAAGCAATTTAACGTCAAACTTATAAGTTCAGAGGTGATATCTTCATTTTTATACACTCGTATATTTATACATTCTTTTATATATAGTAATATTGAAAAGTAATTGCATAATGTAATGAATTAGGACTTTGCTAAATTAATAGAAATAATTTTTATAGGAGTTCATCTGATGCTAAGTAGCTTCTGTGTGTCGATAAAATGCAGACGCGTAGTCACCCCTGAGGATTAAGATGGAATACTTTATTATAAATAAAAAGATCTTCGATCTTGTCACTCACCACCCGAAACGTTGTTGTTATAAGTCTAAAATGATATTTTTCACAGGAATAGGATGTATATTTCCGTTTCTACCGCTGCACATGCTGGCAATTGGGCTGGATCGAGCTGAAGCACGTCTCATATCCGCCGTGGCGCCATGCGTCGCTCTACTTGGTCCGGCGATATTGGGACCGCTAATTGATAGGTAAGTCAACGTATATCCATGATAAATCTTACTGTAGGACTTATATCTTATTGAAGATGAAAGTCTTCGTATTTTGCTATGGTTTCTTGATTGCGCTATTGAATGTAAGACTCCTCGCAATTGTGCTACAATATAGCATATTTTTATTTGCTTTAAGTTACACAAAAGAAATAGTACTAAATGACTAAAGGGTGAAAAACGAGCACACAGTCCACCTGATGGTAAGGCCGGTTTTAGAGCTCGACCGACCGTCGGTGCGTACGTCGGTCGCGCTTGTCATTTGTATGAAAATTCACAAGTCGTTACAGTGCTCGACCGACCGTACGCACGCGTATATTGCTACGCACTGCGACTGCGTACGAGGACCGTCGGTCCAGCGCGTCCGCATGAGTACCGTCGGTCGACCGACGCGCATTGAAACATATTGACGCGTTCAGTGCTACACCGACCGTACGGATGCGTGTATCATCGTCAAGAAAATCGAACCTAAACTTCAATAATATTGTATGATTTTATCGGTATTAAGTAGTGTTAGTGATTTAAGTAATTTTTATCAAAAATGGCATATGTCGACACCGAATGTTTTTATTTATTTCCGTATATAATTACCCAAGTCCGTTTTCGTGAACATCTGTGGGACAAACGCCACGTGTTATAAAAAGATCATGATGTAAAGTTAAAGGCCTCGGAAGAAGTTTGTACAGCTTTGTTTCCGAATTTCGATGGGTGTACTTGATATCTACGTCTTCTGTTCTTTATACGTTTACGTACATAGTAAGGAGCAACTAAGCAATTTGTAAACGCGTCCCTTTCGTGTACGTGTTTGTGACTGTACCAGTCCGGCCAGTTTAGTTGCTCAGGGGAGGTCTGAACGTTACAAACTGACGATCGGTTATGCGTATCGTCAGGACCGATGGTACGCACCGACGGTCGGTCGAACTCTAAAACCGGCCTAAGTGTAAGCAAAGGGAAATAATGAAACAATAGATGTGCAGCAGCACCCTGCTGATAACATTCGAAATACAAAAACTGCGGTTGCTAAACCACCTGTCAAGCGTGTTACCTAACTATGGAAAAAATCTCCCGTGTGAGTCGAACTGTGGGATAGGCCTATGTTCAGCTGTGGAATTTTAATAGGATGTAATGCACAAATAAATCATATATGCATAAATATCAATAATCATATAGGCACTAATTCAAAATAACAAGTGACCCATAGACATCTACATTTATCCTCGATTAGGAATCAAAATGCAGATGCGTCGTCACCAATAAAAAAGGGTCTCCGGTTCTCTATACTAACCATACGAAACAACAGCCTATATATGATATTTTACGCTGGTATTCTTTGAGAGCCTGGTCCTACCCCGGTTGAGCCGACCCATTCGTGCTACAACTAATATAGCTGCAACATGGCTCTACCACGTAAATATAAGAAATCATATATTTGATTCTTGCATTCTTGGAATATACAAAGTGCGCCTTTTTATGTATTTTACTTATATATAGATTTAGCAACGCAAGGACATACAAAACTTATTTTTTAAATCTAAGGTAATTATGAACCACATGCAGAAGAAAACCTAAAGTTAATAACTAGGTAGCGACAAAAATAACACCGCCACGCCGTTTCTTTTCGGTACCGACAAATTTCTGTATTGTTTAAAGATGTCGCAAAGAAGATATTGCTATCAACAACGTTATTGCCCATAATTTGTCGATCATGTAAACCCTACTCAAAAGTAACGTCTTCTTTTTAACTTCCCGCTATGAAAATCAATTATTTTCAAAAAATCGGAAAGTCTCGATTTTGAAACCTCGACGTTTTGTGATCCTAAGAAGCTATTCTGACTATTCCTGCGAGTGCGTGTGCGTGTGCGGGGCGGGAGCACGTGCGTGTGCGTGTGCGGGGCGGGTGCGGAGCGTGAACACGTGCGTGTGCGTGTGCGTGTGCGTGTGTTTGTGTATAAACCTCATAACTTTTGAACTACTTGACCGATTTGAACAAACTTTGTGGCGTTCGAAAGGGTTTCATCAAACTTAGATTTTTATCAACCGATTTGTACCAGTATATTTTGAGAAATCTCAAAAATAAAACTTTCAGAAAAATATTTCTCTGGAATAACTTTTCAACAGATGTAACGATCAGTTCCAAAATCTAATCAGCTCTTAACATGGAAAACGACGTCGATTGCTCTGAATCGCTTCAAAATCGGTTAATACGTTGAAGAAAATCGATAACGAAATATTTCGAAAAAGTGGTTTTTTTCTCACATAACTTTTCAATGTATAGTATAAATGTTTTTTTCTGTAACAGATTTTACTATTTTCTTAAAATACCTCAATTGCCACCATTACATTAAAATCAATATTGAAGAAAATCGATAACGAAATATTTCGAAAAAGTGGTTTTTTTCTCACATAACTTTTCAATTTATAGTATAAATGTTTTTTTCTGTAACAGATTTTACTATTGTTCTTAAAATACCTCGACGATTGCCACCAATTACATTAAAATTGGTTGATACGTTCGAAAGTTATCGTTGTCCAAATATTTCAAAAATAATAACTTCGAAATTTCTGCTCGGATCGTTTTTTATGTAATGAGTTATCTGTTAGTTCGTAAAAATATTTGGCGAGCGTTTTCAGATCATACATAGCGTGAAGTGCCTGGGGTGGCCTGGAGGGTTAAGAATTTTTCAGATTTTTTTAGATACATTGGGAAATGCCTACGCATAGCCGTCTCATATTGTAAAATTAAAAGACAAAATTGCTGAAAGAGACCATTCACCTGAAAATTAAAAATATGAAAAATTGAACTATCTATATACCCAAAAATGTATAAAAGCAGATAAATGTATTGCAAAATTTTTTGTTTGACCACATTATGTGTTTTCTTTTATTATAGGTAGGCGTGAAAAAAACCATTTAAATTTGGGCGGCCCTTAACTGACAAGTCTTTTTAAGTTCTTGGCCTGTGTGTTCTGTCTGTGATGAATACGCTCCTTAAAGTAGATTTTTTTTTAAATTATAGCACTACAACAAACTTTAAAACTTTGAGTTCGTTGGTACACTTTAAATGTTGTTAGGTAACGTTACATTTATCGATATTCTATGTAGACACATTTGTGTTAGGCCCTAGTTTACATGTATTAGGTACAGCATTACCCGCTGCCTCTTTATTTTTAGTTATTTACGATATGATTACAATGTTTCTTAATGATGTATAGAGTTTTGGTTAGGATCTTTTAAATCTTACATCCATCATTATGTTCCATCTGACTGCCTCATTGGTTAAGTAGTTCTTAATACGACTGCTGATCATGTAGTTCCGGGTTCGAATCCCGGGTTTTACTAAAATCAGTTATTCGGATCGAAACTATACATATACATCCGTACATCTGAGGGAATTTCGTTTTGTATAAAATGAAATGAAATGTTTGTATATAAACGAAATTAAGTAATGTGAAGCCTACCGAAAGTCGCTTATGCACAAGACTGGTAAGAATAGTTTTACGAGCTTAGGGTTCGTGACAATAAAAACTGCCGATTGAATTACCAAAATTAACACTTTTATTAGAGAACATAAATCACACTTCACACTTTAGTTCACTTTATTTCACTCCGAAAGCTTCACTCGTATCGCCAATTCAATACTGCCCCGATCGCGGCTTGCAACGGATTTAAGTACACCTTTTCCACCGAAACATCCAGAATATTCCAGCAAATACGGGCGCCGACCGACCAGGCGCAGAAAGTTCGAGAGTGGACCCTTCTAGAAAGCTTAATTCTTCTTTACGATACTAGATGGCGCTGTTGGTGGAAAGTTCAAGATTGGTATTGGTTTTCTAGGAGGCCCTCCTTGCTCTGTTCCCCAACAGTAGTGCCAGGTACCAGACATCAACTTAGGCGCGCAACAATAGCATCAACCAGATAATAGTATTACAACAGAATACATTATATTACTGTTATTTCTATCAAAATCAAAACTATACATACACATGTGTACTTCTGCGCGAAATTTGTTTTATGTGTAAAATGAAATGAAATATTTGTATATAAATGATAAATGAATGATGAAATATTTCTATATACCTAAATGAAATTAAGTAATGTCATGCCTATCGAAAGTCGCTTATGCTCGAAACTGTTAAGATTAGCATCAAACAGTATTATCACAGACTACATAACAGTACTGGTATTTTTATCAAAATCGAAACTACAGATGCATAATATACATTCGTATATTTACGGGAATATCGTTTTATGTGTGAAATGCAATGAAATGTTTATATATAAATGATAAATGCGCAATTTCAAGAAACTATGTATTTATGTATATGGACTCGTCTCAGTGACTAAATGACTAATGGCGATGCGCTCGAAGTGGATATACGTATTAGAATTAAAATTATGCGGAAATAAATGCTATTTCTGTTTAAACTAGGTACTAAATATTTTAATGACAAATAAGATTGATTAAGCACGTACGTTAACGGTTAGGTACGAGGTCGGATGTAAAGTTTAATATCATACGTTTTTAGAATTAACTAGTTGTGCCCGCGACTTCGTACGTATAGTTTTTAGTAATTTATTGTTATACTTCCCTATTTAAATCTCATTTTGTTCAAAATTTCATGGCTTTTATTTTTTTGCGTGTAACCCTAATTCTTTTTGTAAAATAATAGTAGCCTAAGTTACTCCTTATAACATCAGCTATCTGCCAGTGAACTTACCGTCAAAGTCGGTCTAACCCTTTCGGAGATTAGCCTGAACAAACAGACAGAAAGACAAAAATTTTAAAATTGATTTTCTGTTATGGGTACCGTATATGCTTTCATATGCGTTTAGTAAAAAGCTGTATTTTGACATTACAAACAGACACCACAGATTTATTTATTTGTATAGATACTTAAAATTTGTATAGATACTAAAAATTAAAAGATCTTGTTGTTAATGAGTGAGCCAAGTCAACTGATAAATACGCGCCTCGTCCATTATATATTGTATTTTATTGCTTTAATCGCCACGCTTGGGTGGTCCACAATCACCGTAGATACCAGATGTATTGCCTTACCTTTACTTACCTTTGGCGCTACTCCCCATTGCCTTCTGGTCTTAGTCCCGCTTAGTTTTCGTATCTGACATCCCCATTTCCTCATCCATCAGTAACTAACAAGATGACGATGGCGGCGTAAGAATATCAACTACCCAATCTCATCCCGTAGATTTCGTAAGAGGCGAAACAGGAAACAAACCTAGAGATGGGCGGCAGCGTCTTCCTAAAATAATGACTAGAAAAGAAACTGCGGTGGCCCGTCCGACTTATAGGGCATTTTAGGGGGAGGTCTCCGTGCAAGTAGACTTTGATAAGTTGTAATTAATGATGAATGAATATATGAGATGGTTATACCATTAGAGGCCATTTGATGTTTCAAGCCTTCATTCATAATGGGTGATGGATACCATTACGACGCCACCGCACTTTTACTATAACTAAGAAATATATTCGCTGTATATTTTATTGATCACTTATCTGTCTGCCGATATGGATTTTTCTTACATAATTACCGATCATAAGATTTTTCTAAAACAATAATTATCAATTACATAAGCGAGAGTAACTAATAATTTGTGATTCCAATAAAAATAGTGACTACTCTAATTCAGGTGACATAAAGAAATCGCTACACACTACCAAGTATATCAAAAAGACGATATTAAGTTTATTGCCTGGCCGAGGTATTCCCCCTCTTTTGGCTGTATCAGACCCCAATTAATTTTAATCTCGTAATAAGTTCTTAGATAATGTGTTCAAAAGTTATAATGCCCTTGATTTAAAAAAGGATAAAATTTTAACAAGTTATTTTCTTTACAGATTATCAGTGGGTCGAGGTTCTACCGGAGGCAGCATAGGCCAAAGCGGTTCAGGGAAATTGCTGCGCATTGTAACTGCCATTTGCCTCATATTGAGCGCCTTATTTTACACTTTGCTGCTTGTGGTGCCTTACACGGAACGACACGATGTAAGAATACATTATCAGCGATCAAAAATAACTTGCTTGATATAAATACTTAATAGTGAACATTGATATAAGTATGTGTCAACTCAATGGTATTGAACTTGTAAACGCTCTTAATGCGAGGCATGATGAGTTTGTGTGAAACGACAACTATATTTAGATAACTTAATATTTTGTATTTTATAATCTTAAATAGGTTTTATTACGTACTTTCTGAAATTAAATTAACAACGAAGGAAACAGAGAAATTAATTTTTTTTTCGTATTTCGCGTGAAGAAATTACAAAAGCGAAAGGTCGCCTAATTTTCGCGTTTCTGTATATTAAGGTAAAGTCTAAGGTGTATAAGACATTCAAGTGTCATGAATTCTATCTTGAGTTATTAATTCTGAAAGTTATCATGTTATCTTCCTCAGTTTTTCTTTTTGAACGAAATGTAAGTTATTAATAAATTGTGTGTTTTAGGCGCGGCGGCCACATGTTTTGTTCATGTGCGACGCGGAAGGTGCATACGTTATGCAGGAGGTGTGCACGGAGGGCATGCGCTGCAACACCTGGCCAGGGGAAAAGGTAATTAAAATTAAAATTTATGCTGCGTTTAAACGGGATGTTATAGAGGGTCCCTGCTGGTTCTCATTATTTCTTAAGTCTATTTAATATGGATATTACGAAATTTATAATATTATCATTATAATTATCATGAAATGTTCGGCAATAAGTTTTTTCATAATTGCTTGTTGCCATAACTTGTGAACTAAGTTATAAAGCATAATATTATGGATATGTCTGATGGAGTGCAAGTCAAATTCATGGTAGATTGAGTAATATTGTCATATCATGTATAAGAATATCTGCCAAACCAGAACTTCCACAGAAAACGATTTCGTTGCTTACGTATTAATCGTTACGTAAAAATATAATACCGTGTAGTGGCTGTGTAAGAGAATTCAATACTCCATATGCCCTGGCTGTCTTATGGGGCGATAGAGGACAACTGAAGGAAGAAACAGCAGCATCTTCCGCTTGCCAATCCGCCTGCCAAGCATGGCAAATACAAATATGCCGCTCAGAGGTAATCTATGGTGAACGCCTATGTTTAACAGTGGACAGTGATAGGCTGTAATGATGATGATCATGACGATCCGTTAAAAATACATGCCTATATTTTTAGGGATATATTATAATGATATATCATCGTAATAATAGATACTTACTAATTCATGGGGAAAAAGTTTTTTTTTTTTAATAAGAGTTTCGGTGTGAACTCTAGATATGCAAAATTTATATGAACTGTATATTTACATATTTGGGGGGCATTAACAATGCCTTAATTGGAGGAATACATTTTTCGATTGGTTTTGAGTTTGTATTGGATTAGAATACATTTAGGACTTAAGGAGTAGGTAGGCAATTAAATTTAGATAGGTATATTATTTACTTAGATCATTTTATGGCATTTAATTATACATAGTATAAACTTGTATGCACGAAACTAATACACATATGGCGGATTAAATGCTTAGAGCAGTGATTCCCACGCCTGTGGTCCGCAAGAAACTTTGAATATTGTCCGCGAAATAATTAAATATTTTGCCTACCAAACCGTTTTAAATAACATTTTTTTTTAAGTAGGTACCCAGTAACTTTTTCAGTAAATATACTAATTATATTGTTAATAAATGCTTCTGTTCAGTTTATTATATAATAATGTTAAAAGTTGTGATTACAATTTATTGTTAGATTAACATAGTTTTTACTTTCACCTTGTGGTCCCTCCTAACAATAAAAAAATCAAAGTAGTTCCTGGTTAATAAAAGGTTGGGAAACCCTGGCCTTCTCTTTCGGTCAATTATTGCTAAGCAGAGATAGACATTTTATTACGCTTGTTAATCTTATGCCCGCTTTACACTTACTCCGCGAATCGCGCTCGTAGGCGCGAACGTTGTGTGAACGCGTAATGTAGAACCTACACACACCTCGCGCTTTCCTTCACGCATTGTTCCCCGATTTTTTTCTTTTTTATGGCGCACATCAAAAGAAGCGCGAAGCACGAACTCGAACTCAAACTCGACTCGACACAAACGAAATTGCATCCATTACGCACTGTTCTGTTTAATATCGGCAACATTTGAATAAAGTAGTTTATGGATTAATAAACAAACCCTAGTAATAATCAACTTTATAACAAAATACTTAGATATTTTCATAGTTATATCTCTATAAAGAATGTATATATTATATTAAATAAAAAGAGGAACTAATTTTGTGTGGACTTGACATGAAGCACTGACGCTCCGGGAATTCTGTGAACATGTTCATGATTGTCCCCGCCATCACATTAGATTTGAAAGACTACAAATCTTCTCAAAAGAACGCCGATTTCTACCAAGGATGTAATTCGCGGGGATATTGCTATTAAAAATCATCCTAACTTCAATAGAGAAGATGGATGGGTGCTGCCATCTGCTCGGGGTCATAAAATTAAATCCAAACCCAAGCATACCAATGCAAGACTTCAAGACACTGTAAGCTCATTCTGCGTAGATCGGACCAAAAACTTATATTCTAAAACTGAAGCGGGCTAACTATGACATCGAAATGTCAACCACCTCGGTCCCCCTCCATGACCACGGGTGCTGTAAAGCATCCGAAACGTCGGGAATTAAAAAGTAAAATTAAACTGCGATATAATCCGTAAAAGTAGTTTCATTTAATGTTTAGTGTTCGCGTAACTATAGGAAGTCATTATGTATATATTATAATTAATAATTTAGGTACCTTTTTATAGGAGAGGGGGCAAACAAGTATACGGCTCACCTGATGTTAAGTGACTACCGCCGCCCATGAACAACCGCAACACCAGGGGAATTGCAGGTGCGTTGCCGGCCTTTTAGAAAGGAGTAAGCTCTTTTCTTGCAGGTCCCCAGGTTGTATCGGTCCGGAAAAGTCGCCTGTGGTAAACTATTCCACAGAGAGGTCGTACGCGGAAGAAAACTCCTGGTAAAACGTACAGTGGTGGACCGCCAAGCATCTAGATGGTGTGGATGGTATCGGGAGGTTTGCCGCGTAGTGTGTTCATAAAATTTGGCGGCTGGGATTAATCCGAACAAAGGAGATTGATCTTTACCTAAAAAGGATTTGCCTAGATCAACAGTACAACGTACAACAGTATCCAAAACTGACAGTATTCGCAAAAAAGTTATCGATCATCGCCTAGTAGCAGTGTATACAGGGAGGGGCTATTTTCAGAAGTGGGTATAGTTAATGATGAAAAGCGCAATCGGTTGCCATCAACAAATTGTGAAAAAATGTTTTCATTCATGACAACATACCTCTGATAAATTTAAAATATTAATTGAATTGCTTTGTTGGAAAAATATATTCATTTTTGAGTAATGTGTAACTGTTTTTTGATGATTTGGTATTCGGTATTCGGCCGAATAGTTCGTATTATTCGTAGTGATCGAATTGGCTATATACCAAATATAAAACCGAATATTCGTGGCGTTTCTGGTAATCAGATCATTCTGTGTTTTTTTATTAACTGCGATTAGTTATTCATCTCGTATTACTATTTATTTAGTATTTAACCTCGAGCGAGGTAATTATTACTGTTCGTGACTAAAATTATTATCTACTTGTAGTATATTATAGAGTGGTGCAATTCCAAACAAGTCTATGCGACGGTGATTTTCGGTTTGGGCTCAGGGTATGGCTGCGATACTAAACACCGACACTCAACTGCTATTGTAGAAATAAGAATGAATGTTAAGATAAACCACATATCTGCAACATATTTGTTCATACAGATATACTCAAAAAGGTATTTATTCCATGAAAAGTACTTATAAATGTTAAATGTTTGTTTTCTAGAAAGGAGTGCTAGCAGTGGGAGCGTGTGAATATGGCTGCGCGGACGAAGACATGACTTGGCTAACTGAACCATTCTCCACCACATCCACCACCACTACGCTTAGACCCATGTACAACAGCGTCGCCAACGCCACTGTATGTATTCATTTATATAAAGTTCATTATAGACATACATATATAAACACTCACGCCTGTCACCCAGAGTGGTAGGCAGAGACTACAGACTTCGAATTGGCACGATCCTGACACACCTCTCGCCTCCTCCCCGTCCTTATACCTACGAATACATGCTCGTCGGTTAAGGGCACTCCTAATTTGGCCCGTTTTCAATATATCGCCAATTTGGTCGATAAACTTTCGCCTAGGACGATTTTCTTTGTCACTCTTTCCCCATTCATTATTTCTACATGACCAAACCACCGAAGCATTCCTTTCTTAATCCTGGTCACAACATCATCTTGCAAACCAAACTCTTCTCTTATCACACAATTTCTCACCCTGTCATTCAGATTCAGCCCTGACATAATCCTTAACGACCGCATTTCTACTGCGTTTATTCTACTCTCGTGCTTCTTCTGCTACACTCAACTTTTACTACCATACGTTAAAGTAGGGACCAACACAGCACTGTGAATTGCCATACACCTTTTTTGACAAATTCTGACTCTTCACAATGGAGTGCAGGGCCCCATATACTCTATTTCCTGCGTTCACTCGTCGTTCTATATCCTTATCATATCTTCCATCCCTGCTAAATGCGCATCATCGTATTCATTATAGACAGCAGCGCAAAATTCCGAATACGGTCAGAAATTATCAAACGCTCACGAGATATTATAGTGCCACGCTTAAGCACCGCACTCATCCGTCCTAGCCCTAACTTCGAGTAAGTTAGAACTAGGACTGATGAGTGCGATCCCACGTATCGCGTATGTGATAAGATTAACACTAGATAGATATATTAGGATGCAGTATCTAAAACGACGTCAATCACAATCAAAGGCAAGCGACTTAGCCTGGTCTTTTACCGCATCTAGCTACTAACTACTACCATAATCCTGCGCAGGTCATCACGTCATCTAGTCAAAGGGCCGTCGCAATACATCTTTTTAGGCACGTTCTCCATTCTGTGACACGTCTACTCCAATGTTTGCACTTCTGCGACAGAGACTAATCCGATATGATGGTAGGCCATACTGTCATATCGGCTTACAAACCCGGAATCGTAGTTCTCCTGTGAATATCTCATTTAGAATTTTACCCACCAGAAAACTTCGAGCGTAACTCTTTCCATTCCTCATCGAGCGACTTTGAGATTGTGGAGTGTCTGCATCCATATTTTGGCACCGTAAGTGTATTTTCTTCGTGGTATTTACTAGAAAACATGACGGAGCTTCATAATTGCTGCCTAGCCTAACTGAGTCGTCCTATCGGCTTCCTTCTCGGTGTTATTCTTACCTACACGTAATTTCTGCCCGAGTTACATATATTCCTGGACTGCTTCCAAAATATCACTATATAGTCAGTGATTAGAATTAGTCTGACGTGATCGTTGAACATAATTATTGTCTTTTTCAGTTTCATACAGACTGACATGCCCAGAGCATTCATTTAGACTTTTCACCATGTCCTGAAGTTCTAACAGCAATTCTGCCATCACAATGTCATCAGCAAAGCATATGTGTGAGATGGTATTACCGTTTATGTTAATGCCACGTCATTTCCAATATAGTGCCATGAAATATCATCCAGTGCATTCGTGAACAGCTTAGGGCATGAAAAATCCCGCACTGCACGATGCAACTGGACAGGTTATGCTTGACTACCCTGTACTTGAACTGACATCGTACTGGTATTGTAAAGACATCTCAGCACTTTAACACTTTTACTCGGCAGTACGCCAATCAATTTTGCACCGCTACAAAGAATCCACAACAACCAGTGATTCCTTTCAATCTTCCTAAAAAAACCATAGGATTTCTTCTAAGTTTCTTAACAAAGGCTTTGGGCCCTTGTTTATATCTATTGCATTTTATATACATATCATTTTCTTCCATTTTTTTTCATGTAGTATAGACCTTGAAGATCACATTTTTCCACGCCATAAATTAAGCATTTTCCTATTAGTGAGTTTGTAATTGTCTCTGTCACTAAAGAAATAAAATCGTATACGCACGTTCCCTGTTTTAATGCTAGAATTCTGAAGGTGGGAAATTCTACTGGAACAAGTATAACATGCAAAAAAAATATTTCATCTATATTTAGATAAAGTAATAATTTCAGTATGTTAGTATTAAACACTCGTAGATTGGTTGGTTTTTGTTGCCGATGTAAACAAGCCGACAACTGATTTGCAAAGAATGCTTTCACTGATAAGCATCTGGAGCGAGGCTATTAATGCGACTATTGCAATGCAAGTGCATACATAAGCGTATTGTGAATGAACTTTGCATAAAAGCGGTGCTTATATTTTGTACAGCATAAATTACCTACACAATACAAACACATATTATTAAAATGGAGCTGAATGTTTCGTGTTTAAATTACAACTTTTTCTCTATTATAAAGTTTCCTTAATATTAAAAAAATTGTTTTTTGTTTTTGTTTTATTGTTAAAAAAATTTTATATTTCAAGCCTTTTATTTATTTTACGTAGTACGTTAAAACAATAGTAAAAAAAACTTATTGATCAAATATAACATGAGATTTCTTCTTATGCTTTGAATATACGAATAGCTATCTAATAAAAACTGGAACAACTAACAAGAAAGAACTCAATAGTCATTTTCAAATTATAATCTCTTCGCTGCGGCTCAAAAAGTATAACAGTATCGATGAGATTTCATTTGAGAACTGCACCGGTTCTGCCGATAACTAAATTTGCTCAATATGGGACATTTGAAATAATGCTATAAGTCCATAAGCAGGCCACGATAGAGACGGTGACCGACGACGGTGACGAGGGCGCGGATTTCGAGCTGAACCCGCCGCACCTGTGCACGGACGGGCGCTGCCTCGTGTACATGCAGCACGCCGCGCGCCTGCGCCTGCCGCTGTCGCTCACCGCGCCGCCGCCGCGCGCCCGCAACTTCACCGACAACAACGACTACAGCGACGACAACGCCAACAACGCCACCCTCGACAACTGGTGCTCTTACCGTAAGTAACAACCACTATTAATTAAATAAAACCCCACAGTAATTCCTGAAGTGGAATTAAAAAGAAGTTCTAGCAAATATGCAGGACTAGATAAGATAAACAAGTTTAAAACTTTATCAAATTTGTAAAAGTTCAAAAGTTGTTTTATTTGAACAATACAGTGGCGGTATAACAATATCCACTACCTCTTATCGTCCCGTAGGCATCTTAAGAGGCAAGAGAAGTAAACAAATTAAGAGATGGAAGTAGAGTGTCCTTAGTAACAACAACAAAAAAAATTAAAATTTGCCTTCCCGGTGATGTTTTTTTTCAAAAATACTGTAAACAACAATGGTTGCCACGTTACCACCGATACGATGCTTCGCTGGAGGAAAACCTCATTACTCTCGATCTACGGCCAATCCTAACATACGACCGTCCTCGGGCGTGTATGTTGATTAATTCCAACAACAGTAACTAACACCTTTAATCACCACTTTTACACACACATATGCAAGATTTAATTTCATGCAAAGTAATAATGGCTAAGGCGTTATTTTGACCAGCCATCATCTCATATAAACAACGTGGACCGGATAACTGACTCTCTACCCGTCTTATCATATGACGACACCTAACTCAATGAGCGACAGCGTCCTTTCGACCAGTCATCATATCATATGACAACATGGACCGGACAACGGGCTCTTTCCACTAAGCATAAACAGACACACAGCTATTTGTACAGCTTGCACGACACTATTAGCATCGATAAAAGATACGCTTAAACAACACATTCTCTCTTAAAGATATACGAACGTCCTCAATCATACAATAATGTGTGATATATATATATATATATATATACAGAATATGTAACGTAATTAACGCACACCCTCAGACACCCCAATTAGTATATTATGTTATAGTCATAATACATACACTGAATTTTTAGTTAAATATTTTTATCCACTGATTATTTATCAAATTAGTTATACTAATTCCGGAAGAATGTTGTGGTCACAGTACAAATCCACGAACGCAAATACTTTAATGTGCTTGAAATAAAGTTAATTTTTCTTTATTTTTAGTACAAATAAAACTGCACTCTTAAAAGTCTTATTACCTTAAGTTACGGTCCATTTCAGTTTGTTTAGACTGTACAGATTTAGAGTGACTGTAACTTGCGTAGTTTTAATTATTTTTGGGATAAAATAATTACCTATATTAAAAATGATAGGAATCGATTCAGTAAACGATTCTGAACAAACTGCTCTCTCAAAGTGCGTAATTATGTTACGTGTTGTATATGTCGCCGCAAGGACATCTTCTGTTGACGAAGCCTAAACTTTGCATTGTCTTTTAATTGCTATTTATAATAGTCAACAGTGTAATATTAATATAACAGTCTAATAACAGCAATTTATCAGAAATATAACACGTAACTAGTTCTTTAAAACTATTTTGGTTTACAAATCTCCTTATTGACAACTAATTCCTATTAAGGCTTCCGTCTAGCTTTGCCGTTTTATATTCCCAGCCATTAGCGGGGGCGCTCTCCCCCGTGCATAAATACTATTTTTCTCTAAAAATATTTTTACTTTTGTCGTGGTAGTATATTTCATGTGGCATTTACAATACATGTATCCGCTTCTTATCACACACCGAAACACTTTATCACAACCGTAGTGAACACTTTAACAGATCTTACATAGATTCCAAAATACATGCGTACACTGTTGATCTACAATGCCCCCCTGCTACCCACAGCATTAAGAAAGAATAAAATAGGGTTTGGATATGACTTCAAAAGTCAAATCCATAGTCATAACAAGGCAGAGTATTTGCCAACCGGATGTTACCGGAAAATGTACAAAATGTCACCAATAGCAAGAATGAAATAGGGTTTGGATTTGACTTCCGCAAAGGTCAAATCCATAGCCAATAACAAAACAGAGTATTTACCACCTGGATGTTATCGGAAAATATACAAAATGACAACAACTCGGCCATCCGTTTATGAACGAGTACCTCGTTGCGATTTTATGTCTACATTAACAATTAGGTAATTCAGTTAGTTCATAATCATATATAATCATAAATTTAGACATAATACAAAATTATATAAATTTGCAATAACACAGTTAATCTACTTATTACTATTATAAGTTAATCTATTTATTATTATTATTACCTTGAAATATACGGTAGTGAAGACTAAAAATCATCAAATCACATTAATATAACCATATTTGGATCCTAATAATTAGTTTATTTAATACGCTTGTTACATTTTGTATTAAATCTTAAAATATAATTTATTGTAACATAAAACCAGAGGTAATAGTTTCTAAGGCTCTTAATTATAATTTAAATCAATTATGCAATTAACTTTTTTTGTTTACATTTCATCTTTCAACTTATATAAATTATCTTATGTACGTTTAATAACGAGTGGGAGTGCATACAGACACATTACCTTAGTCAGGGAAACGACCACAACACCCTCCATTGCTCTCCAGCAGATGGCTAGGCCCACCATCTACATCAGTATTTTACGATTCAACGAGTGGGAGTGCATACCGACACATTACCTTAGTCAGGGGATAACGACCCCTCATGCTTGAGCAGACAATGCATAACATCAATTGCAGACACAAGAGTGGGCATTGCAACTCCAGCCGAAGACCTTGGCTAGGGATTTCGACCCTCACTCAGAACCTAAAACTTATCTCATACAACAATCAGTCTTTTCTTTTTATTCATCATCACTATCGCTATTGTTATTACTTGAATTCTCATCACAATCAGTAGACGCATTATGATTAAACATGATCCAAGGAAAAATTTTTATCAATGGTCACAACAGCCTCGTAACGCCTCCCCTTTCTTGATAGAGGAGTGTCCTCGATTATGAAACGGTCATTTGGTAATACTTTTTTTATCCTGTAAGGCCCTTGACATTTCGGCTCAAATTTTTTTGATTGCCCTTCTACACCAGTAACTGCTTTAATTACTCTTACTAAATCTCCTTTATTAAATCTCACCCCGGTATTTCTATGTTTATCATATCTTTCTTTATCTTTATTTTGTTAATTTTTAATAAGTTCATTAGCTTCGGCTCTAATTTCATTTAAATTATTTGCTGTGGTATCGGGTGCTACTTCTAAAATAACTTCGTTTAATATGCCTTGACTTGGATTCGTTACTTTATACCCAAATAGAAGTTCAGTTGGAGTCTTTTTTGTAGTTGCGTGTATGGTTGTGTTGAGCCCAAGCTGAATGTCGGGCAGATGTTCGTCCCAAATACCGTTTGGTTTATCGTGATTCATTGTTGCGAGAGCTGCTAGAATAAAACGATTATAGCGCTCAACTTGGCCGTTCTCGTTGCCACAGCATTATACACGTGTTTTATTCCACGAGATTTGATATAAGATTTAAATTTAATGCTAGTAAAACTAGTCCCTTGATCTGTAATAAGCCTAAACGGTGTTCCAAAATAGCTGATATGCTCGCGAAATACTCTAATCGAAGTGGTAGATTTAGTGTTTCGAACTGGTGTGAGGTTTATATATTTTGTAAATGCATCTACGATTCCAAGAATGTATGTATTTCCGAGTTTTGTTCTTATAAAAGGGCCAAATGGGTCTGCATGGATCGTATGGAACGGTTTATCAATCTTTGGAATTGGATGGAATTCTCCCGCTTTCGCTCCACCAGGTACTTTATGATGAGCACATTTTATACAAGCTGCAACATACTTTTTTATAAACCGTCGCATTTTGGGAAAGCAATAGGATTCCTTGATACGAGAAAGTGTTTTGTCGTACCCAAAGTTACCAATATCGTCATGGTTGCTTTTTAAGGTTTTGCCACCTAGCCCCTTTGAGTACCACCCATTTCAAAGTGTTATCATTCATAACTTTGTATACTCGCCCGTTTTTTAACTTAAAATTCTTAAAAATATCCGTTACTTCTGTCGTCACTGGACTTTGAAGGACACACACAATACGTTTATTTTCATCGTCATTTTGCTGAATTAAAATAATTTAATTAACCAACCTTCTGTACCAACATTAAAAACGTCTAGGGCCCGCTCATTATTTCCAGTACTTTCTACTGCTCCCCTACTTAAGGCGTCCACATGTGCCATCCTTTCCCCAGGCCGATTACTCTATTTCACAATCGAACTCCATAAATTGGATCCACCATCTGGCGATCCGTGGTACTAGGTCTCTTTTTGTCAAAGTGCTTAGTAAAGCATTGCAGTCCATTACAATTTTAAATTTTCGCCCTAATAAATAAACTCTAAATTTATTCAATGATGCTATTACTGCCAAGGTTCCTAGCTCATAAATATGAAGTTTTTGTTCATCTACCGAAGTTTGTCGGCTATAATAAGCTATTGGTTTAAACAATCCTGAATCATCTCTCTGCAACAGGATCCCAGCGATTCCGAATTTACATGCGTCTGTATGAAGTTGAGTTTCCAGACCCGGATTATAAAGAGATAAAATTGGCCTTTCCGTGAGTTTGTTTTAAGTATCTCAAAAGCTTGAATTTCGCTGTCACTCCATTTCCAATGAGCATCCTTTTTCAGCAATCCCGTCAAAGGTCTTTCCCTAATAAACCGGCGAAAGAAACTCGCTAGTCCCAAAAATCGCCTAACATCATGCACGTTGTGTGGAACAGGAAATTCAGAAATTGTGCGTATTTAGGAGATACCCGGTTTTACACCCTCCGAAACCTAACTTCGTATCCTAAGTATTCGATTTTATCAAAAAAGAAGTTACATTTACTGAGCTTCAATGTAAGACCACTCTTGTTAATTGCCTCTAAAACTTGTAATACAGAAAGACCTTCGTCGAAAGAACTTCGTATTAAAATATTCTCCATGTAGACCAACACGCGGGAATTTAGAGACGCCTTTTGAAGGATTTTATTCATAGTTCGTTGGAAAACAGATGGAGCATTGCCAAAACAAGGCCAAAAGGCATTCTGTTAAATTCATATTGACCGTC